ACACACTACACGACAGCAGACATCTCAGTCATGAGTTACTGGAGGACACCTGCACCTGTGTAGGTGTGTTGTGGTGGTGTAGCTGTAGTGGTGTAGTTGTTGTGTGGTTTTGCTGTAGTGGGAGTGTAATACTGCAGTGTAGTGGTCTAGTTGTAGTGTAGTTGTAGTAGTGCTGTATCACCTTGTTGTTCTTGAGTTTACTCATGACTTCAGTGAGGGCTGGATATCCTCCTCTGTACCTCCACAAGTGCACTACAGAGTCAACATCACATGTTAGGGTCACGAGCGTGACTACAGTAAGCTAATGCACACGTGCCGTCATCATGATGAAAACAAATCACATCCATCTCTACTGCAGGTGTGTGTGTGTGTGTGTGTCCTACCGGCCTGATCCTGCTCCCCATACCAGGTGTTCCAGGTGCCCACCAGCTCACACGGGTAAGCCTTGTCGGTGTGGATGTTGGTCAGCACGTCCTCACTGCAGAGAGAGAAGAGGGGAAGCTGCAGATTAGCGCGGTACAGCACTGCAGTCAATGACGCCTGCACCGTCAGCTCCGCCTCATCTACAGGCAGAATATGAACAGTCCTGAGTCGTGGCCGGGCGCTGCGGACAGCTGCCGTGTGCCCTGATGGAAAACTCTAAACTGCATGACACTACGTCGCCGAGAAAGAGAAAGTGTTAAAGAGAAAACAAAACAGAAGCGCTCTGTTCTTAAAGAGACAGCGCACAATAATCCTGCTGATTTAATTATTAATCAACACAACAAGAGGAGGAAATCCCCCACTGCTCCTGACTGAAGCACTGCTGGAGCGCGAGTGTTTCCTTACAGGGAAGATGCTTAAAGCACAGATTAAACACAACAGTGTTAATAACTCATCTCTAATAACTGATTTATTTTCTCTTTGTCATGACAGTAAATAATATTAGACTAGATATTCTTCAAGACACTTCTATACAGCTTACAGTGACATGTAAAGGCTTCACTAGGGTAATTAGGCATTAATATAACAGCAGTTTCTTCTGCAGACAATCATATATATATATATATATATCTTAAAGGGGATAATAATACTGAGCTATTAAAAACAGTCTCAAAATATTTAAACCTGCTTTTATTCTAGCCAAAATAAAACAAACAAGGCTTTCTCCAGAAGAACAAATATAGGAAATACTGTAAAAAACTGCTCTGTTTAACATCATTTGGGAAATATTTATATATTAAAAAAATTCACAGAAAGGCGAATAATGTTGACTTCAACTGATAATCGATATGAATAATCATGATTACAATTGTGATCACAATAATCCTGATTGATTTTTCCCATAATCAAGTAGCCCTAACACACACACACACACACACACACACACACACACACACACACACACACACCGCACACACACACACACACACACACACACACACCGCTAAACGCGGAAGTTTTTTTCCGTTCCCTGCGTCTGATAGCCCAGTTTGTCACGGGGGCATGAATGAAATGTGCATGAGTGAACGTGAATCTGCCGAACTGCGGTTAAAGTCAGGCGTCCTGCTGATGTGATTCACAACGGCACTATTTTGTCAGACGGCTCACCAGTCAAGTATACATCCGCGCTAATATATCAAGGTGAAAGTCATCATAGCTTGTGTAGAACAGACCCCGCTCCCAACACAACTATTTGATTATCACGCGATAAGAGTCTCGCAATAACACCGATAACGGCCCAACACTAATATATACATATATATATATATATATATATATATATATATATAAACAACATATAAGATTAAATAACATAAAAATACGAGAAATTGTGGAAGTTTTTTTTTTTTACTTTAACTCACTGAAAATAAACAGTGTACAGCAGGGTCATAATCAATACAGTTACCGTTAAAAACTGAATTATGTTGTTTTTTGCACGTAAAATCCACTTTCACAATCATCTTTACAAATAAATAAACAATGCTGCGCCAGACCCCAGAGTGTCTCTCCTCTGTCCAACACAAAGGAAGATAATCTGAAGAATGTTGAGGAGACGCTGACGATCACCAACCAGCACTGCGACTGTCAAAGGTCAATCAGTCTGCAACATTCTTCAGAACGTCTTCTTTTGTGTTCAACAGAGCAGCGTCATGATCAGCCGGAGCTCTCCTGATCTGAGGTGTTCGTATAGTGCTTCATCAGTGTGTGTCAGCAGTGAAGCCCTGAGGAATGAGCTCCAGTGACTCCTCCAGCGCCGCTGACACTCACAGACAGGAATAGAAAGCAGGACATTTGCTGTGAACTTCAGCTCAGAGTGTGTGTGTGTGTGTGTGGAGTCTCTGAAACAGTGCTGGAATACACACTGCATGCTCAACTCACCAGAGCTTGTTGTAGGCCTCCAGACACTCGGGCTTGACATTGTGAACTGAAATACACACACACACACACACACACACACACACACAC